TTGCATCCTTCATGTTATTCGTAAAATCTAGTACAACTATATTTGAAGTATGTTTGTCAGCATTGGTATGTCAAATGCTGTCCATAATATCTCTAGAGTTTACGTGCGCTGAACATGATACCTTCAACTACAGCATTATTGTGCAGTAAAATGTTGTGCGAGGATTTCAAGGGTATAAAATGGCATTCGAAGCAGAAATTCATTTCTACTGGGGACCAATTCCTTTTAAATATATTGAATTTGGTTTTGATAAGGTTAAAGTACATTTAATTTAGTTGCTTGATACATGCAACAAACATTCATGTTCCTCTGGATACCTCTGGCAACTCTAGCAATTAAACAAACATTGAAACAACTAAGTCTATGATCTAAGCAAACAAAATCCACCTTGGCCATTTTACCCCAAGAAAAACAACGCAAAATCCTGTCGAAAAACATAGAGAAGTGAATACTGCCACGTAGAAAGGGTGCTCAACACAGTACATTTCATTTGAATGGTCACACACCAAGGTGCCAGCCACAGGCTAAAATGCTGAAGTTACATTTATTTAATGGACTTGTGGCCCTGGAAGTGAAAGGGTTACTGTTCAATTTGGCACAATAAAAAGGATTAACACTTTAAACAAATTTAAACTGATTTACAACTAAGAAAATTTTGAATATTACTTAAGTATGTATATTATGGCTTTCGGAATCTGCAGTATATGTTAACAAAATGTTCACTTCAGTTCACCCATATCACTACAATCTTTGAACCACAATATATTACGGAAACTAACCTTCTGAATGGTCCATTTTTTAAATCAAAATGAGAAACCAAACTGTCTACAGACACGGCAAAACCGAAAGTTGCCTGAAGCAATCCTTGACAAACTTCACGCACTAATATCTATCTAAAGATTGTCTTCCCACAGGAAGAGAGGGTGAATTTTTGCATCCTGACCAATACCACGGTGTAAGTTTCACTTTTTAACGTGACAATAAAAAGGATTCATTAAGATGCAGTAGTTGAGCGGAAACCAAACCTTCCTTTAAGCTTCACTTTCCAATAAAAATGTTCAAAAATACTTTTCCTGCACAGTATTTTTTGAACAACATAGCCCTGTTAGACTTCTCAAATGATGAAATAGATAGCCAAAAGAATTATGCACACCTTCATGAATACTGGATTGTCTCTAGACAATTGCCACTTACCCCCAACTTCAACCTCTATAACAAAGCGAAGAGGTCGTTCCACAACTTCCAATATGAGCATGGTGTATTCTACAAGATCTAGCTTCTACAGATTTTTCTCACAGTTTCAGAATTAAAAGCTTTGGGAATACCATCGCTAGACACAGAGCGAAGTTAATCTCCACAACAGGAGTTTAAAATCTCATTAGGAATAATTAAGATGTGAAAAAGTCATGGGAGGGAAAATTGTGGTTTTATTCTTGGTCAATATTTTAAATCTTGACTATCTTGAATTCTTTAGCACACAGGTTCAGACAGTAAAGATAAATTCTCACAGTTATCAAAATTTACCAGAAACCTAATTAGTTCAATGTCAAACTACAACAGAAAATAATTTATGGGAAATTAACTACTTACAGATCTTTATTTGCCTTAAATTGTGTGTGACTAAGGGATTACAGAGGCACTGCAGTGATATAGAGCCAATATTGGAACAATGCAAATATCCCTTTACTACACATAAAAATTGCATAAAAGATCCAATATGAATCAATTAAATTACAAGGCTAATATTAGAATCTTGTGACTAATGGGCCATTCTCACTACTTCATGCTGAAAAATAACAAAAATCCTTGCTGTCTTGATATTGAAAGTCAATTGGGACAAAGAACTAATTACACATAGGGATTAGATCAGAATATTTTACATCTTTGTCATGCGCATGGAAAACTCAACCGTAATTTCAAGGTAAACAAGTTATTCATTTCAAGTGGAACATATCCAGCAACTGCAGTTCAAAAACAGGCAATGTGTTGAAACAGCAAGAAAATCCACAGGTAAATCATTTTCACCACTACTTATCTGAACATAGACAACACAGAGTATCTATAATTGTTTCTATCAAAACTCTAAATTGCTGTATAAAAATAACTTTAAATATTTCAAATGAAAACAACACTCAGTAATTTGAATACACATGTATGTTCAGAAGTTCTTCCATACATAGCCGTTATTAAAGAAGCTATGTCACGGTTTACACATCTTGACAAGTTTCACCTAAAATTTTCAAGTTCATCATTTGTAATCCATGTCAATCTTCTCCATCCTTAACCATCTTTGTTCCTGTATGGTTTATTAGTATCTCTTTAGTGTTTTTATATCTTACTGAACACTATTTTCAGGTTTCCTTCAATTTAAAGGTAATTTTGTATGTGGCTGAAATAACTCAAAATAACATGACTGAGCTCCTTGAATAAGGAAATTCTCACACACACACACACACACACACACACACACAAAAACAAAACAATCCCATGTTCCTAGTTAGAATTTAAGAAACACAATTAACAGTTTGGGATCATGCGAAATCCTATGGCAAGCATTTTCAGGACTGCTTCAAGTTCTCCAAACTTCCACAAATGTTTCTATAACTTTCAAGAAACTTAATTTTTTTTCATAATTTGTATGATGGGCTACAGCGCTATTCTGTTTACCACCATGTCTTTCTGTAAGTACAGGGTACATGTATGATTACTGGTATTTAAAAATTTACTGAATGGGAGATGTGACAGGAAGTACCTGTATGCTGTGACATACTGAAGAGATGGTGTGACAGTTATTATTTTTTCAGTGTGCTATATTTGTTTTGCTAGTTATTACAGGCCTGTTTCATGTTTCCTTTCCTTTAATTTTCAATAAGTGCCCTTGGTCAAGCTGAGCTCAATGATTTACCTGGCATGAAGCACCTTTACCACTCAGCTAGGACATAATTGATACATTTTCAGATTGACTTAAATCTTCAATTCAATAAGGGATTGCGTGACATTTCCTTGTAATGCCAAGCAGAGGTACATGTAACATTTATGAAAGTGCTCAAGAAAATTATAGCAAATGAATGCAATGGAATCCCACTTAAAATGGCCCAGACAAGAGCTCAGCAGTGTTCCTGATATTAAGTACCAGGTCTCAAGTTAACAGGGACACTACCATGTCCCTCATCCTTTTAAAAAACACTGCTATACCATCAAGGCCACATTGTAATGGTCCACTGGAGCCCAAATAAATGGGGTTCCACTGTACTTTCACAGCGACTAGTGCCTTCTGTTTCCGGCTTTTGTGCCTGATCAGCAATATCATCTACGTGTAACTTTATTTTTACATGATGGGTTTCATGGTGTCAAACTCTGACCATTGTAACAAGTAAAGGAAATGCAACATGCAAATTGAAACAACAGATTAATTAATTATGAGTGAGGTGATGTAGAGAAAATATAAGCACTAGAAATCTTCCATTCTCACACAAATGTTTCCTTTAAATGTACATAAACATGTATGGCTGGAAGTAAATGCTGTAAAGCACAAACACAAGTTTACACAACACCTTCTGAAACCCACTTCAAAAGGGTAAGTGAGTTACATTGTAATCAGGGTTGGCATTTCACATGTGAACTTAGGTATTATGTATTTGAGTTTCTACTTTTGTTTGCTTGTGCTAGTTCTTCATAAACGTAGCTTCATATATGCATGGCTTATGTGAATCACACTAGCAAATGGTGCATTCCTTTGGGGGTGACCCAAGATCACTCAGATCATGGTGCATCAAAGGAACCGACAAATCCCCTCTGGTCACAGATTCCTCAGCTCCTTTGATGCACCATGATCCAAGTGATCTTGGATCACTGATCCTGATCCAGATCACCCAAGAGGAGCACACCTAAAAACTTTCCAGTGATGGCATTTACAAATCAAACCAAAGCACCTACCTTTCACTGTTTCTTCTGCCTTCTCTCTTTCAGCATCATCAAATGTCCCATCCTCATCTCTAAAGGTTAAGTCCTCTACATCTTCCTCATCAGAAGATATACCATAATCACCAAGAACAAGATCATCTTCAGAATCAAGACTACCATCAGACATGTCTTCAATCTCATCTGCTATATACGAGTTCTGCGCTTCACCAATGGAAGATGACATCATTTTCTTACCTTCATCAGAAGTTTCTTCTGTGTCGTATCCATCGATCAATGGATCATTGACAACTACACCATCATATTCAATAACAACTCTTGGTAATGTTAGTCCTAGATTTCCATGCTGCTTTGTAAGTGTACTATCTCTGTCACTGTTGCTCACACTCTCTTTGACTTCATTTTCATTTATGATACTACTTCCACTTTTAAACTCATTTGGTTCTGTTCTATTTGAAGTTCTGACATCAGAACTAACAGATGTCACATTTCTGTTACTTTCAACATCACTGACCCTTTCAGTATAATTATTACTGTCATATTCAACAACCACAGAAGGCTCTGGTGATGTAGTCCTTCTTACACTAGACAAATCTGGCGAGCCAGGTCTTTGCCTAAATTTGCCAATATTAATCCCACTGCTAGCTTCTGATGGCACTGAAGAGTGGCCAGCAATCATTTTAACATTATCTCCTGACATAACACTATTGCCTTGCAAACTGTGTTCTTTATTGATCCCTGATAAACTTAAAGGCTGGCTCACAACATCTGTTCCTTTGTTAGGATCTCTAGGTAAAGAATCAATTGAATTTTTTCCAGCTTGTATGTCACGCAACCTCTCATAGGTAGGTCTGTTCTGGTTTGTATTGGCTTTGTGTAAATCTACAGATGAATTTACACTTTCTTTATTGTTCTCTAAATTGCTTTTCTCAGATTCTGTTAATGTAACTGGTTTGAATCGTCTGCGGTTTGCTGATAAACTCTTCTCCACAGGTTTGCGCTGCCTAGAACTGTAAGGTGTCTCATATTTGGACAGTCGTGATGTTATGGCAGAATCTAGAGAAGACTGTCTGTCTGGAATGCCAGTTCCAATCTTTGGGGCACTAGCTCCAATTTTTGGCATACTCAAAGAAAGACTATCTTGAGAAGAATTCCTTCCATATCCCTGCCACTTAGCTATCCTTGATGAAGAACTATAATAACCATTCGTTGTTCTATTCAATCCATTAACTTCACTTGGACTTTTAATAGGATTACCCTCCTTTGTTGACAAATCAAAATTTGTTTTATCAGCTGGTTTCGCTGTTTTTACAAACTCGCTTGCTTTGAGTGAATGTTTTGATTCTTCGCTTAACGTGTCATTAGCTAAAGAACCCAAAATCTCGTCGTCCTCTAAAGGAGGTGGGGACGATGGGAGAGGTGGTGGACCATTGTGGTCGCCTTCATCTTCAAACAGAATCTTAGGATCATTTAACACACGAGTTGCATTACTAACAGATTTCTCAGCCACAACATCTCTACTTGCGCGAATTCGAGTCCTGTCGGGCTTAGGAAGGACTTCTGGACGACTCTTGTTGCCTATCCGAGGCGAGGCTCTCGACATAACAGGAGAAAGCTCGCTACTCGAAACCGATAGTCCCACATCGTTGGAGAGAATGAGAGCTGGCGAAGCATTCAGCCTCTCTTTCAACGAGTGCGCGTCCTTGTGATCTTTGATCGACGTTTGTGGCTTATTTGCTTCTGAAGATAAGCTTAAGTTGGAGTCAAGTTCGAATTTTCTTCGCGCCAAGGGCGAAGGTGACCTTCTACGAGGACTACGAGGCCTTGTTTTCGTCAAGTTTTCAAGAGTGTGGTTGGTGTGAGGCGGCAGCAAAGAACCTCGCTCGTCGACTAAACTCGTCGAATCATTCGAGTTGTCCAACTTAGAGCCCCTTGCATTAGTCCGTGGCACTTTGTTCGCCGAACTAAAACCAAAACCATCTCTTGTACTCGAGACACCGAACGGTTTATTCGTGTCCTTCGATAAACCAGGCAGCGCGAAAGCGCTTGGAGGCAAAGTTCTTTTAGCCATTTTGTATCAAAAGTTGTGCAGTAATACGAACATTCGCCAATGCCATGAGTGGAAGAGTATTTGGAGTATCAAAACAACAACAACTTTGGCCTGATTATAACGGCTTCCCTCCACTCAGCTGACCTCTTTCGATACACAGAAATGATACGCATAATTTATGCAGAAGTCTGGAATGCTGCACGCTTTTGTGTGTAAAATGCCTTCGTCACGCAGTTTGATTGACACAAAAACGAACACTGTAATCAAATGTGGATGAAGTCATCAAAACTTCATAGATAGTTTTTTAAAACATGGTAAAAAGGTGTTTGAAAAAGCCCACTTTAAAAATGATAGCAGTTAAGCAAAAAAAACAAACACACAATATCGAACAATGACGCTAAAGATCTTTTAATCTCGGCAATCACAAACATGTCCCCCGAGGAAACAACAATCAATCATACATTTGTTGCTCTCATTCAGTTTCTCTCATTCTTTTCTTCTAGTCTTTCCTTGTTTGCGAGCCGCTTTTCTCTCTCTTTCTCTGCCGGCTCCCCCATCTCACGCAAAATCTTTTAAATTATACAACTAACTCGATACTTCAACCTTTAATACGTCCGGAACACACGGCAGCGATCGCCACTGCAATCTACTTATCTACGTGGACTTCAATCTTTCTGATCTTTCTACACACAGAGGGTCACGTATCGGTTAATCTACTGAATCTTCATTGTTTGAGTTGACTGCAATGGTGTTGAACTGGTACAAAAATAGATTCATATCAAATCTACGTCTCTCCAAACTGTAACACAATTCGGCAACGTATGATCCCGCGGGTACGAGATCTATTATTAACGGGTATGAGGGTCTTTTTCCGGAGACCTGACTGACGGGGTGGGAGAAAGTTTCGTTATGACAACTTGCGGGATTCGTTAACTAGCGGTTCAACTGCATCGGGGATTCGTTATACTGGAAGGGAGCAAGCGGCTCCAATATAAGGCCTATATGGAACATTAACTCTCTTTTACCCTGCTTCCTTTCATATGACAGTGTCTAGTAAAACACTGGTGTGTTAATTTGTATATCAACACTAAAGGAGAGTTGTGAAGGGTGTTGTTTTCTTATCCCGTAGTCATTGATACAGATCCCTCTCAATTTATTTTCAGATTTCCCGCCGACAATCACGCCACGCATGTTGCGTGAATGCTTCATGTAAAGTCCGCGCGAGTAAAATTCGGATTGCGTGGATAATTCTTGACCCTCCTGCGAAAATAACTGGAGAGGAGTTACTTTGAGAATAAGGTCTCTATCTTCATTTTCTCTTGATCCAAATAAGGAAAAAACGATGTTGAATACACCTAAGGCACCGGCTGCCTGATTGTCAAAAATTATACTTTTTTCCCAAGAACACAGCCCAGGAGCCCGTTTCTCGAAGGCCCCGGAAACTTTTCGGACCCGCAAAGCCATTTTTAGATCATCTGTATCTAAAAACAGAGAGGTGTACACGCCTGGAAGTCCTTGTATGAAGAGAACCCCTGTTCATATTGATAATAAGTGAATAAAACAGATCTGTAATCATAAGGTTTGAGATTTTGCTGCGGCTTTCCGGGTGCGAAACTTTTCGGGACCTTCAAGAAACGGACCCCTGTACAGCAACACATTCGAGTAAAATACAAAAACGTCAAAACAAAATAACGACAAAGATCGGTTAAGGGAACATGGCCTAACGGAGAGGAAAGAAAAAAAATAATAATAAAAAACGTACCGTCAACATACTTACGAAGAAAATTTAATTAAGGACCACTTTAAAATTACAAAAGTATGGCCTAGTCTACGCCATGGATTCCTAAAATACGGTTACAACGAGTGTACGGATGTTTTCTCGACGTGATTTCGAGACGTCCTCGCGTGTGACCGCTCGTCTACCCTCGAAAGCGCGCGAAAAAGGCCTCTGGCATTCAGACTCATAAGGTGTCGCTATCTTTGAGTAAACAGTCCTTGGTTTGAGTCATACTTCAAAGGTAAGCGTCGATCCCGACCCCTAGGTAAATGAAACAAATTTAAAAACAAAATCGTTAGAAAATTAGTTCTGTAAGGAAATTGTCTGTAAGCATTTTTTCATCAAGAAAAGAGTTATTTGATGAGCGGAAAATAGCCTAAATCTGTAGTTATTTTCCTTTGCTGTTAAAAGTGAAGTCTCCCTCATTAATAGCTTGCACTAATCGTTTCCAAAGCGTTTTCGTTCAACGGTAGCGTTCAAGTTCAATAACGGTTTTTGAAGATGCGTAGCGAAAATAACCGCTGTGACTAATGCTGGCTCACATTCTGATTTCTCCCAGAGCTCTCGATTTCTCGGTGCTAACCGAAGAGATCATGAACTCTGGGAAAGAGACTGGATTTCGACGCATTTATTTTTAGTTTTTGCGTTGAGAATTTGTCGTTAAATCAAGGATTGTACAAATTCATAACTTTCTTTACTCTCGTCACCAGACTTCTTGACAATGAACTAATGTTTTAAAGAGAAATTAGATGTTTGATCACTCTCGAAAATTAAAAGACTACTCACTTTTTAACGCGAAGAAAGAACTTTTCGCGATCGAATTTTTCAGCGCCATCCACATCATTCAGACTACCACACTCCAAATAAACATCAAAACACATCTGCAAAGAAACAAAATCAGTTGGCAAGTCAAAATACCGTGTACCATAATAAAGAAGTTATGATATAATGATTAACTATGTTTCCCCTACCCAGCCCCAGAGGACAAGCTTTTGCTCACCTGTAGACGGCGAAGCTGATTGGCTAAGAGATTTAAAGATGAGTCACGTGCTGTGAGTTCCGGGTAGAAAACATTCCCTTCTGCTTCTATCGCCTGTAAACAAATATCACACGATTTGATCAAGTTTTAAATCGCAATTGCGACACTTTGCGTGTTAAATAGGAGGTAATATGCCCACGAAAAGCCCTGGGGGCAAATATAAGCCCTGGGATGTTTCCCTACAAGAGCAATTTACTATTACTAACTCTGGAATAAAAATTAAAACAACGTAAATGTTAAACATCAGTGAAGGGATTTCCCAGTGAGTGATATCCAGACCTCTAGGTTCACTATCAGTTTAGAACAGTGACAGCGGAAGGCGGAGGACTGGGGCGCAAATCCTGAACAGTCACATGACCAAAATCGTACCCAGTGTCTCTCTTCCTTATCACAAATGCCTTAACTACTAGCTGTGATTCGGAGATTGGATTGTAAGGATTCAAAACAAATCCACACCTTGGTAAAGCTGTCCCTTATCACAGTTTGTCCGCAAGTTATTTCAATTGAGAATAATGGCGGCGTTGTCGGATATTCCTGAGACAAGACCACTGATGCCTTGAGACGCACTGAAAAAACAATTCATTAAATTGTCAAAATTGGAACTATGAAACACTTCACAATCTCTAAAACTTGTTGAGTAGTATAATTCTGGGTTTTAACCAAAGCCAACCACTTCCCTCATGCACACAAGACTGAGATTCGAATCGGAAAATTCTACGCTGATAATGTAAGCGTCTCTGATTTGTAGCTTTGATTTTGAATCTGAATCAGATTTGAATCGTCACGCATAAGTTAGAAACAAATTGTCAGTATGTCAGTAAGTCTTTCGGGGAAACCTAACATGTCTCTCTCGCGGACGAAGAAAAACGCCTGTTTATGTAGGCTAATTTATCACTGATAAATCTAAAACGTCAGATATCACCAAGTTTTTGTATACGCCTGTCGGCGCAGAGCAAAAGTTTCTCAAAAAGCGAATTGTCTCAGCTCAACCTGCAGCGAGCAAAACACCCCAAACCTACTTTTATTTCTCTCAAACACCGCATGAAAGAGCATGTCACTTTCTTGAATGAATCCTTCGTCAATAAGACTTTTCAACTCCGCTTTTTCCTGGAAAAGAGACAATACATATCAGATCAGCATATCAAAATTGTATTAGCCTGCGAGCAGGCTTTTCGCGAGGAAAGAAGAAAGAAAGTCAAACGTCATTTTATTTCTTTATTTCTTTCCCCACGAAGAGCCTGCTCCAGGCTACATTGTTCCACGAAAAAAACATTGGTCAACTTCAAGAGGTAAAATTTGCTTTGCAGGAAAATGTCCTTACCACAAATTCTTCGAACGTGGCTGGTTGCCACGAGGACAGCTTTGCTGATAACTTGCTCGGGAACATTTGAAGAGAATTCTTGTTTACTGGAATCGTCAGCGCCTCTGTAAATTTACAAAAGTAAAAATCTTCAGGTCGTGAACTCAGAGTAAAAAAGTGCAACTGACACAGTGCAAATCTTACTAATTTAACACTTCGTCTAAATAAGAAGCAAGTCTAGTGGTCCGGGTAAAGCAGCATCTCCTTTTGCGTCCTAAGTTCATCCTCTACAAGATGTCTGGTATTATTTTACCGTATTCAACGCAAAACTTCCACGCTGACGATAAAGTAGCTCTGCAAAGATCGAGTATGATTGGCTGTCGCGTGTTTATTTGTTCCGTTTTTCCCCGCGCAAGTAACACTGTGCGTAAACCTGTGCGGCTACGTCTTACGGGGCACACCATTTGACTTTCGCGCG